AACCCTTTGTATTTTCGATATACCCTAAGCATGAAAATCATGTTATATGAAAAAATGTATCAACATTGCTAAAGATTTAAAATTTGAATTAAAAATATCTAATAAATTGTATAGATGGGAACCGGTGCTAAAAAACCAACTTAAAGAAATATATAATCACATTGTTACTCTCTCTTTTCTTGTGAAGACCAATCTCATCGATGCATATCGTCAGAAAATGGTCCCCAATTGTATGAAATTTCAGAGTATTGAAAATAGATTAATACGACAAGTTTCATTCTAATTTCGAACTGTTTCTATTTCTTATTTTTTTTTTTATATATATAAATACAATCATTTTTAGAAGTTTCTTACGACTACTGACATCTTATAAAGTTCAATGTATCGAAATGAAATAACCAATCATGGTCATTGTAAATGTTTGCCATTGTCTAATACATATTGTTTGCTTCTTGTTCTTCTTCTTCTATCGACCAACAATCAGATATTTTGTTCAGATATATTAAATTGAAAATTATGGTGTTTAAACGTAAAAAACGTCCAGAAATTTCAAAACCAACTAATTTTCAACATATTCGTAAGACATATTTTGATATAAATAGTCAGACATTAAAAGATTTACCACCACAATGGACAAGTATATTAACAGATGAAGATATATCACGAACAGCTATTGCTGCATATGAACGCCAAAGACAACGAGAACAACAGCAACAGCAACAACAACAACAATATTCAAATCAACCACCACGACCAAAACCATTAATTGGTGATCCTTGTTTTTTAACACCATCTGATCTTGAATATCTGAAAGTTTGTTTTATTGAAATTTTTTTATTAAAAAAAAATCGAAATATTTTAATTTTTAGTCTCAAACAATTGTTCGTGGTTCAGGATCAAGTCAACAAACATTAACTAATCATCGACAAACATCTCCACCTAAAATGTCCAATGACTATACTTATCATTCTCATAATCAACTCATACAAATTCCACGTAATACTCATCTTGATCGTCTCTATAATATTAAATCACTTGATTCATCTACTGACAATCGTAAACCATCAGTTCCAAATTATCAGAATGAATTAATACTTCCATCAAATGGAAAAATAAAACAAGCAACATCACCTGCTGTTGTTACAACTCGAGAAAAAATTGATGGAAATACAAAATTATCACTTGAAGATGTATGTATCAAGAATAAGAATAAAAATAACAAAAGTTTAATTTCATTCATTGTTTTTTTCTTAAATAGTTCGTTTTTGCATTACAAAAAGTTGTTAGCCAGTCAGATCCTCGTACAATGTATGATCATTTTGTTAAAATTGGTGAAGGATCAACAGCAAATGTTTACATAGCTATTGATAAACATTATGGTACACAAGTTGCTATTAAACAAATGAATATAACTAAACAACAACGAAAAGAACTGTTATTTAATGAAGTAAATATTTTTTTTGGTTTTCGGGATTATAATTCTATTTGACAATTATAGAATCATAAAGGTAAATTTATGATATCTGTATGCGAAGGTCTGATAAGGAGTACCAGTCGACTATTGAGTCCTTGTTTTTATGACACCAATGACGAAGTAATGCAGCTTTTTTTCAACTTAATTCTACTAAATATTAATATGAGCACCAATTCTAATCTTACGCTTCGAATTGTTTGCAGATAGTTTATTTGAGTTAATTATTTTTTAAAATTTTAGGTAATGATTATGCGTGATTATAAACATCCAAATATTGTTGAAATGTATGGTTCATATTTAGTTGATAATGAATTATGGGTTGTCATGGAATATCTTGATGGTGGTGCATTAACTAATTTACTTGTAACACCCACAGGTGAAACACAAATGAATGAGCAACAAATTGCAACTGTTTGTAAATCAGTACTTAAAGCACTAGCTTATCTTCATTCGAATGGTGTTATACATCGAGATATAAAAAGTGATTCAATATTACTTTCAACAGATGGTTTTGTTAAATTAAGTGATTTTGGTTTTTGTGCACAAGTTATGAATGAGAAAAAAGCACAGACAATTAAAAGAAAATCATTAGTTGGAACGCGTATGAATAATTATTTTAATTTTGAAATTTGAATGTTCAATTTTTTTAAATTTTCGTTTCATTTGATTTTATAGCTTATTGGATGAGTCCTGAAGTTATTTCAAGAACACCATATTCAACTGAAGTTGATATTTGGTCATTGGGTATTATGGTAAGTAAATAAATAAAAAACTGCTTTCTTAAAGTTAGTCATAATGTTACAGCCATATAGCTACAACAGACGATGGTAATCTTATGAAGAAAAACTGTTAAGTTATAAAAAAAATCTATTCGATTGAAAATCTGATGATTAGATAAACTAGGGTTAGAAATAAAATATTTGAAGGGAGTTAATGTGCAAGTTATGAATTTTTCAAATTATTAACAAACTGGTAAAGTTTCATTTCTAAAGGATAAACATATTGACTGTTCAGTTGTTAGGTAGGTTTTTAATTAAGAATAAAGATTCTCTGATATCTCATCCATAAAAATTTCAAAATTTGAAACTTCATGTAATCATTAATTACATGTATGGTGAAAATATTCTTCGCGCTTGTCTATTTCATTGTCTGATATGCAGCAATCTAGAGTTATTTCATCCTTCTAATTATATAAAATCTCTCTTCAAATATATTGAACAATTGTTTCAATAAACAATTTTTTCGAGTTGGAACAAATGATGATAGTGCTAGAAATTTCTTAGATGGTTTAATCGTCAAAGGAACGGCATGATTCGAGTTTTTCCATATATGTTGCCTATCCATTAGTCTATCATAAATTATATTGTCTTTCTTTTCGACATTGTGAATTTGCAGACATGAGATTCAGTAACATACAACATCACATGAGAATGAGATTAGGATATTAAAAATGAAGATTTGTCCCATAGTATGAATTCTTAGACCATCTCGCTGGTAAACAATAGTTGAATGTTGGCATTCACCTTTGAAGTTTATCAAAATGTTCCTGTAAAGACAAAAGCTACAACAAACAGAAGCCAGAAAATAAGGACACATTGTATGGATTATGAAGATTTTTCAAATCAGCTACTTGTTACTCTCGTATATGACATCATACTCAATTATAATAGTTGACTCAAGAGGAAAAAAGCATCACTTCAGTGCTTGAAAGCACAAATAACTTAAGATAATATATGAGTGAAGTGTTGCACTTCAATATACTGGTATCGTATTCTTTCACCCTTAAGTCCACTAAACATTCGTATTTATACTGATATGTAATGTTCGTTCTTTTTGAACAGAATTGTTAATTATTTTATGAACCGTTCTGAAAGTTATTTTTCGATGATACCAATAGAATTTATAATAATGAATTTATTTTGCAACATTGCAACAATTCTCATATAGTTATATTCTATCTGACTATCATATTCTTTGTCGAAACGTTTTTTAATCCTTTCGTTAAAGTCTATTGATCTCAGGACAAATTCTCGATGACCTACGATTCTTTACATTTACAATATGTATTATTAATCTTTCTCAAAGATAACATGTTAATCCTCATATGTAAATAGATATACACGATGTATTAATTTTTAACTATTTATTGATCAAAAAAAATGAAATAAAACAGTGATGGTGTATGCATGATAATAGCACAAAGATTTTCGTTCGCAGAGGTCATTTCAACAAAATAGCTCAATTTTCTAAAAATAGAATAAAAGTTTCCCGGGTCCAGGAATCTGAATCTATATCAGGTTTGTCGAAATTCTCCGCATTCGATTTTTTCGTTCAAGGAATGCGTACGAGCCGACCTGTTTAAGTGTCAAATCGCTTTTTGATGGAGACGACACTCATTTGATGAGTACAAGTCACCAATAAAAAAGTCTTCAATGGCTTCACTCTCGAGATATCAAATTTTTACTGGATTTTTCAAACTTTGCATGAGCAAAGTTCTTCATGAGACTAGTTGACTGTGCAAGTTTTGACTTTTCTAGTATTTCATTTCTGAAGATGAACAACATTTTCTTCTATACATGAGAGAATATTGAATATCTAAGGATAGAAAATATTAGAGAAGTCACAACTTGTCCAATAAAATAATCTTTATAAGAGCTTTGTTTGTACAAAGTTTGACATCGAAACTCAATACAATAGCGATATCTCAATAACGAAAAGCCTTCAATATCAAGCCATCCAGACTCTTCTAATACTTTCTAGCACTCATCAAATGAACATCATCTCGGTTAAGAAGCAATTCAACATTTGGAGAGGTCCTAAGGTTAATTATTACAGTTTAGTCATGTTTTATAAAATTCAGCTATTACCGTGAAATAGACCTCTCTGCCAACCGAAGAAGTCGAAATAAATCTGAGATCACCGTAGTTTTATCATGCGTTTACCATTTTCACCGGTGTAGTCGAAACCAAAACTATATATAAATATATGTTATTATTTCAGGTAATGGAAATGATTGATGGTGAACCACCATATTTCAATGAACAACCATTAACTGCAATGCGTAAAATTCGTGATCAACCTCCACCAAAATTAAAAAATCCTCATAAAGTAAAGAAAACACACCAATACATTTTTTTTTCTATTATGTTATCCGATTATGTTTTTTAAGACTTCATCACTTTTACAAGGTTTTCTTGGTCGATGTTTAGTACGTGATCCATCTCAACGAGCAACAGCTATTGATTTACTTGATCACCCATTTCTTCGTCATGCTGGTAATCCATCATGTCTGCAAACACTTTTATCAGAGCAAACCATTGCTAAAGGAAATTTATATGTATCATGATCAAAATAGAAGTCAGATGTGGTTTTTTTTCATGTTTATTCATTTCATAATCATTCCACTAAATAATGTAGATTGAAATTCTGTTTTTGTTCATTCACTTTCTGTTTTATTTCATTAAAAAAAAACAATAATGTGCAATCTTTTTTTTTCATAAAAATGCAAACAAATACATCATAGAATTTAAGTCCTACAATATAATTTATGTAATTCATAATTTCGTTTATCATCATATGATTTATTACAAGTTGTACATCGATGTATGATATTATTAGTTGATGAACGTTGTATTTTAGCTGAGGATATAGTTCGAGAATTTTTCGGTAATGAACTATCTCGTCGAGTACGTTCGTTCGAAGTTGATGGACGATTTGATGGCGTTAATCGACCTTTGCCTAGAAAAAAAAAGAATTTTTTGTTTTTGTAAGATGAAATAAATTCACACATAACAAACCAATGGTCATTTCATGATTCGATCGTGAAGGAATAGAAGGTGTTCGACTATGATTTAAAATTTGAGATGAAAGATTTATAATTGGTGGACGAGATTCAGTTCGTATTACAAGATTCCTGAAGAACAAAAACAATTCATTTTATATTTAAATAAAAGTTTAATAATACGTTGAATGAATACGTGTAGAAGATGTTGTTCCTAAATGATGATGCTGTTGAGATAATGTTTCAATATTTACATCTTGATCTGATTTAATCCATCTATTTTCAGCATATTCATTTTCATTCAAATGTGGAATGTCATTTTTTGTTGTTGTTAATCTATAATCAAGAGATAGAATAGATTATTTCGATTTGAATTAATTTTACCTTGTGTCTGTAAAAGCTTGTTGTTGTTCGAGTATTTCATTATTTAATAACCATAGTGGTGTTTGTTTTGGTTTCTAAAATTACTTTTAAATTTTTAATTCTCATATTCATACATTTAAAAAAGTTTTTAATGATCAATGTTAAAACGATGTTATAGCATAGAGTAGTCAACATGCTATTGGATGGATGACTTGAACAAAATCATACCATGAGTAGGAGTGTCGCGACTCGAACATGGTACCTTCTGTGAATTAATCACTTTTGATTGAGGGCCTCAATCTATTGCCGCCGATATATTGGATTTATTTTTGACTCAATACCATGATTCCCTTCAAAAACAATGATTTTGGAATTTCAATTGGAAACTTTGCGCATAGGTAAACTTCCGTAGGAATCATTATGAAAGATTCAAATTGTTTCGTTGTGCCTACCCTAAGGTATGACTATAATAAAAGAGTGTTTTTGACAGTTTGTAGTAAGAAGGTCAAAAGGAAAAGTATCAAAACTAGAAAAATATTGTAAAAAATAATGTCTTTCGAATGTATGTAAGTGCCCAAGGTTAAGAAGTACGCGTCGGCTCTGGTAGAAAATCACCGGAAATCAATGGAACATGTAGCTAGTATTCCGAACCGCAAGGCTTTCTGTGGATTTCAACTAATTTTTGTTCTTTCCAGCAGAAAATGGTCGTAACTCATCGGAAAAGTTCGAAGATTTTCCGTTTCGCAATACTACTTCCATGTTCCTTTGACTTTCGATAAATTTCTGTCGAATACGATGATTTCTTCTCTAAATGTATAAACTTAATTATCCTAGTAATCTTCATTTCAAAATTCCATTTGAATATTGTTAGACTTAGATTTGATATCTGAAATTAAATTTATTATTTACTGATGGTAATGTTTCATTTGCATGTGAATATTGACGATAGGATTGTTCTTGTTTTGATTGATTTCTTAATTTTTCATAACGTTCTTCTGTTACTAACAATGGATTAGTATGATTATTTGTAAGTTGAAGTTTTTCTAATGAAAATTTTAAAGAATCATTTTGTTTTTGTAATGAATCAATACGAAACTCATTTGTTCGCATTTGATTTTGCATATCATGAACGAAATTATTTGTTGCTACAAAAGCAAACAAAAAAGTTATAATAAGACTGAGAATAATATATAGATAATTTACTGGATGTATTTTGATTAGGTCCATTTAAGACAGGGTATTGTAATAAAATTTTCTCGCGTTCAGTCATTTGTTGAATTTGTTGTTGAAGTTGTTCAATATTTGATTTAAGAGAAGTAACTTCTTGCAAAACATGATTATGTGTTTCCATAAATGCTTGAACTTTGGTATTATCTGAAGATGTTTGTTTTTGTTGTTGTTGTTGAATTATTTGAAATGATTTTTGTAATTCATCTCGTTCAATTTCTAATTCTGTTATTTTTTTTCTAATTTACAAGAATAATAATTTCTGTTTGATTTAGAATGAAACAATGAATATTTACTTCAATGATTCACACTCATTTGATAATTCTTCATGTGATTTAGTAAGTGTTTTTTGTTTTGATTGATAATTCTATAAAATCAAAAATCAAAAAAGAATTCAAAATTGTAAAATAGATTTGTTTTTGTTTTTTTTATTTACTTCTTCATGTCGAATCATATTTTCAATACGTATTCGTTCTTTTTGTACATCACGATTACGTTCTTCAAGATCACGTTTAACCACATCAAGTTCAGTTTGTAAACGAATACGATCTTGTTCTAATGTTTTTATTAAAGCATCTGATTTTACTCGATCTTCCATTAGAATTTTTAATTCATTTTTTGTTGATTCTAAAGAAAAAATTCCATCAAGGATCAAAATATGTTTATAATGAGTAATGCAAAGATTGAACGAGTTTTATCAATATATAGATGTTCAAAACCTTGACATTTTTTTGTTCAAACCTGTTACACGTTTTATCACGATAAACAATTAATCATCATTCTGATATAGATTTATTTTCGTATTTTATTTAAAGAAACAATCTTGTGTTTTTCTTCTACGTCATTATTCACTCTTCGTTTTAAATATTTTTTTCTCTCATGCCCATCGATAGACGGGTTTAATATATATTTTTTTAAATACACGAATTTATAGATGTACATTAAAGTAAAACAAGTTTACCTAGTTTTTCAATTTGTTCACCTCTTGAAGTACATTCTTCAGTAATTTCTCTTAATTGTTGTTCAATATTACTTTTTTGTGTAGTTAATAATTTAATTTGTTCATTTAAATTTAATTGACATTGATCATAATCTTTTTTTATTTCAATTAATTTATTAGCATGTAATTCTTCTAATTTTTTCTTTGATTCTTTTTCATCATGAATTATTTGTTGTAAATGATGATTAGTTTCATTTAATTGTTTACAATGATTTTCACTTAAATCTAAATCATTTTTGGTTTTATTTAATGTATTATTTAAATATTCAAGATGCTTTGATAGATGATCAAAATCTTTTGATTGAGAATCAAACCAATGATTAATATCATTTAATGGTAATATAGATTCAGATATTGGTGATGTTGAACATCGATAATGTGCAAGAGATGATGGTAGACTATATAAATGACATAGATTTATCATACTTTCACTATAATTATGAAGATATTGTTGAAATTGAATACATGTTGAACATGGACCCAATGATGTTTCAATTGTTTGACAATGTTTTTCAGTATTTAGATTTGATTTTGATCGTATTGATGATGTTGTGTGATGTGATCGTTTACGATTAGTCTAAAAATGAAAAATTGATTATAAATTGTTGATTAAAAAGCCCTAGTCTATCCCGTAATATTATCGGGTCGAACCTCATGCTGTTGAAGTATGGTGATTAAGTGCAATAATTTATTCCAATATTTTTTTACTACTAAACCAACACTAAGACTTGCTTGTTGATTAATAGTTGATGATGAATCGATCGTATTCGGTAACAATTTAGTTTGAGCTTCATGTAAAAAATGCCATGAACCATGTACCACGAGTAATAATCTAACAAAAAAACACCGAAAGAAAGGAATTTTTGCACTGCTTCACGGCGGATGTCTCATTCTGTTGGTAGGACAGAATTCTACAGAACATTTTTCTTATCATATTCACTTGTGTGATAATGGCATAACCAGAAAAAATAGTTCGAAGTAGCTCGGCCCACCAAATGTGTCTTTTAGGATGGTGACGATCGTCTGGTAACGGTTCCGAAGCGAGCTGAAGACAATGTCCTGTAGGAACGACTTTTTTCGATTTTCATTCTCGCAATGCTTTCAGAATTTCTACTACGGTTTCATTTATCATGATTGAGAAAAACTACTACTACTAGCCACTAGTTTCTCTTAGAATCGCATTTTGTGCACAATGTGAGATGGTCTTAAATTCAAAGTACAGTAATCATTGGGCGTTGCTTTTAATAAAACAAATCACTTTTTTATTTATACGTTAGAATATATCACCGCTAAGTTAAGAGTATTATTTTCTTCATCGTTTGAACAGACAAGAAATGCTAACACATTAACAACACTGGTGAAAGAATAGAAACATTCAAAAAGAGAAAATGATAATAATACTACAGTTGAAGATAGTCTGAATAATATTTCTTCCGAAGGTAGTAATCACAAAGAAAATAATCGTTGTTATAATCAAATTGTTATTTTCGTTTTAATTAATCAGAAATGCACATGTCTTTGAAAGAATATGAAAACCTATTTTTCAATACAGTGACATCGAATTGATTTTTGATATTTTTTTTGTATGAAAGAGCCAAGCTTGGAGAATACGAGTAATGTTTTTAATTCTTTTAAGTTTTTTTTTTTTGTAAATAGACAGAACTTTAAAACAATCAATTGTCTACCTTTGGTCGTTTAATCCGAAAAATTCGATTTCAGCTCTTCTACTTTTGAGCCTTCTTATAGATAAATTTTTCTTTGTCTTCGGTTTTTGTGCAAATGTCTTGGTCTCAGTAAAACTCATTAAAACCAAGGAAGAAAGTCTATGCTTGAAGCCTCTAGTATATCTTTCGACATCTTGTAGCGAAATTTGATGTTCAGATGCTGCGCTTACCTTCTTGATTAAAATAGCCAAAAATTTTTATTAGTAGGCCATGGGTTCGAAGGAGTCTAAGGTTTTCTTAGCCTTGATGACAGTCATTCGTCCTAAATTGAATGGTGTTCGATATTTAGATATGTTCTCTGGTAAGATTTATCTAGCGGTGGCGCCATCACTGAAGATAACCTATTTTGATAACCGCCTATTTATACTCAATAGCTAAGGACATCTCAAGTCATGTGATGAAGAGATAAAGAACTCAAAACAAAGTATTTTGATTCTAATAGCAGTTTCTGAAGAAAAGATAAGCATCAATCATTTAAATAGACAATCAACTCTAGAAAGATGAATATTTTACTTGCCTGAAAGAATAATTTTTTTAATTCTGAAAATTCTTAATTAAATTTTCAAATGTATAAATCATTTCTATATAAATGTATATACCTATCAATAATAATTTCAAATAAAATAATATGAGAAACTTGATTATCAAGATCATTTTTTCCATATTGATATCGTTCAAGTAATTCATTAATATCAACGTCTGTTGCTAGTTTATCTGGAAATTTCCATGAATGACATCTACATAAAAATGTTAATACAATTAATCAATTCAATAGGCAAATAAAATAATTTTTATTTTTTTTACTTAATTGAACCTGTTTTTCCAATAATATCATAAACAACATTTTGTAAATCATCAATATCAACACGTAAACTATCAATACAAACTTTACTTCCAAGAAGATGAGCCATAATATGATTAAATTAATCTATCCGACATCCATCTTGTAAATCATTGGTTATCATGAATTCGTTGCTTAGCAACGAACTCATTTCAAAAAAACACAGACATCAGAAACTTTTTATAAAAAAAAAATTATCAAGAAAATTTTTTTTTCAATAAATTTATCGAAATATATATATTAAATTTTTTTTTATTTATTAACTGATTGAAAACAAAATTTCGACACACCTGAATGAGTCATGTCGCGTAAACCAGATGTTTTTTTTCACTCGTTTGTTGTTTTTTTCTATTTCTTTTTTGTTTTAATAAAAAATACACATAATGGATACAACAAGTAATTCTGCTGATCAAGATCAAAAAGCAAATAATGAACGAGCATCAGTAATTGAGAAATCTAATCCAAAAAGTCCTTTGGAATTTTCATGGACATTTTGGTACCTTAAACCTGATAAACGTATTATTTGGGAAAAATCATTAATTAAATTAATTGATATTGGATTTGTCGAAGATTTTTGGGCAACATATAATCATTTAGCTTTACCATCACGTCTTGCAACAGCTAAAATTAATTCAGATTATTATTTTTTCAGAACAGGAAGTAAGCAAATAAATTACATTACGATTTTGAAATTTTTCTATAAAATAGTTAAAATATTTATTTAATTGATTTTTATATTAATTAAACATAATCAATTAACTACATATGCAATCCAAATTAAATGTTTATTGTACATGCACGTTTCTATCAGGAATATATACAGATGAATTTCGATCGTCAACCTTGGATTGATATAAACAATTTCTAGCCGTGATTTCAAAGAGGACTTTTTTTAATAGGATTGAAAATTTATTGTCCTATTACATTATTTTAATAACAATTTAAACTCAATATCCGTTGTTTTGTATGATGCGATCACATAGATTTCATTAAATTCCAAAAACCGTGGTTCAGAATTACTCAAAATTTATAAGTTTTTAGAGAAAATCCGAACAATCTCGTAATCAGTTTTAACTGTTGAAAAAAATCAAACGATAGTATTCAAAGTTGATCACTACTGACATGAATCACTGATAAAAATTTATAATTTTCAATATTAGAAAAATGTTGACGTTGCGTATGGATATACCAATATCTGAAACTTGAATTTAAAAGTAATGTATATGCAGTATTCAGAACCTAGAGATTCATGTCATCTATGTTCAATTTTGAATGTTCTTCTTAATATTACGGGTTGATTTCTTTGAATAGTAAAAAAAAATATTATGAAATTAGTCGAGTTTTCACTTAAAACTCATAAGTTTCAACAAATTCTGAATCTCATTTTTTTTATATTCAATGAAAGCATTGAATAGAAAAATCGAAATTAGCATAACGATGAATTCTCAATACTAATATTATAAATATCAAAATATAAGGCAAATCAATATTTTTCGAATAACTTTTGAGAAGAACATCACAACAGTAATTCATCGTGCTAAGTTGACTAATGATATTTCTGTTTAGGTATTTCACAAATATTAAGATAATAGTGTCAGATCAGTTCAAACCTAATAACAAATATGACCATTCGACTCAGTATGGTGAATTACCACTGACTACCTGCTTCGTCGAAGAATGATTATAGGTTAATTAGTTGAAACAGAAATTCTCAGGAATAGACTTATGACTCTTGAATGAAACAAGCTAGGAATGTCAGTTTTGCATAGATTGAAACAGAAATTTTTTTTTTCTGTCCATTAATAATGTCATAAATCTAAATAGGAAGGGAAAGGATTTCAAAATTTCGTTTTGGAAAACTTCCAAGAAGAACTCATCTTAACCATCAATGGCTGATCAATCAAATTTCTTTGGCCTACAGTTTTCTCTTTTGAATGATGTGACAAGCACAGCTCTCTATGATGTTCCTATCGAAAATTATTCATAAAACATTGTCCTGCATTATAATTTGACATCGATAATAGAGGAAGACATCTATAAAGTCATGAGTTAGGAATTTATATGGATCTTTATCAAGTTATCATTTGAAAATTCATTACTTCACTTTGTTTCAGTATATTTCTCAGATACTACTCATGTATATAAATCTTTCTCCTATTAAGAATAGTTTCACAACCGATCTTCTAGCTCCGATTTGAAAAGCTACATTAATAAAGTTCCTTAAAGAAATTAATACCCATTTCAGAGAAAGAAGGTGGATGGGTATGTTTTGAATAATTTTTGATAGATATTATTTTGAGAGAGGGAATGACGAACCAACGAATCATATACTATAGTTTTTCTTTGACCTGATCTTTTTAAAACTAACGTACCCTGTGAGGTGATTACAGTGAATTTTCAATAAACAGGTGTATATTCGAACCTCTTATCGAAGATTTACAAAACTACGTAAGTCTCGGGTTTTTAAATATAATCATGCAAAATAATAGGTATTATACTGAAAACTCTCAATGGGTTGTTCAAGCAGTTGTTGTAGAAAAAAATCACTTTTTTTTCTTTATTCTTTCATAAACCATTTGTACAGCAATTTTTTTAGAAAATGGATTTTAAAAACAGTTCAGAAAGCATCTTATGAAAATGTATGATGTATGATTCAATGCGATGGCATCTCTTTCCAATTGTGAAAGCTGCAGCGTTCTATTCTGTTTCTATCAAACATAATTCAAAAAATATCCATCGTCTTTTGTTTTGAAATGGGATATTAGTTCATTATGAAAGTGTTAGGTTTTCTAATATCTTCTATCTTGACATAGGAAATAAGCGACGTGCCGGATATAGTAGAGTTATCTAGTGCATGAAAATAGTCTTATTGACAACTTTATTTGTGCAAAATTAGAACGCTATAATTGATTTTGAAGAATATCTGAGGATGACTAGCAGTAATTTATCTAGATTTTATCTTCAGGAGGGCAAAGACTTATTTCCAGAGGGCACAAACACATAGTATATTGTACTATAGCCATAAACTCTGTTAGGATCAATCTGATCTGAGAAGAAGCGCCGCTCCCTCATCCACTCCATGCTGAATAAAGCACTGAAAAGTAGGAATGTTTCATGAGAAACTCACTAAAATGGTCATACTTAAATAAAAAAAAAGAAGTATGAGCGAGAGTTTATAAGATTTTCTCTAATTTAAATAAATCCTGCGTAATGAGATAAGACCCAAGTCGAAAGCAATTGATTACTTGATGCAACTCCATCATCAAAAACAAAAAATTTATTATAATCGTTTAAGATCAGTTGCAGTCTCTGTGTTTTTCACAGAAATATATACATTATCGTATTCCTAGATAAAACTCTATAGTTAATTTTTAATGCGTTTTGTTTTTCATTTTAGTTCGTCCAATGTGGGGTAAGCTGGGCTTTTTTTTTGTTAAACTTTTGTTCATTTTCATTTTATATAAATGTCTTTCATTAAAGAGGATCCAGCTAATGCTAATGGTGGTCGTTGGTTATTAACATTTGGAAGTCCAGATATGAAGCTTGATGATTTATGGCAAGAAACATTACTTGGTATGATTGGTGATTGTTTTTCACAAGACTCGTATGTATAAAAACAAAAAAAAAAGTAATAACATGTTTCTGAAAAAAAATATTATGTTCTATTTCAGAGATCCTCAACCACTAAGTCGTTTTATAACTGGTTGTGTGGTATCAATACGTGTACGTGGTCATAAAATGGGTCTTTGGTTATCTGAAGCTCAAAATGCAAATATTGTACGTGAAATAGGTCGTCGATGGAAATCTATGATGAATTTACCATCAAATATTCGTATTCAATTTGAGACACATAATGAAAGTGGTAGTGGACAACAAAAACCTATGTATGAAGAATAGGCATAAACCTAGGATTTTTTTTCGTTTGTTTTTCTTTTTGTTTTGTTTTATTATTTGTCGTTTATGGAGCAATTTAGTGAAAGAAAATTGTTTATTTTCAATAATTATTGTCTCTCGCGCTTGATTTTTTTAAATAACTAGATGAATTTCATTATTTTCTTCACCGAATCTTGGTTCATGGTACTTCGAAAGAAAAAAACAAAGAAATATTTATTTAAAAATTAAATACAAAAGAAAAATTTTATTAAGCGTTCTTATTTTAATTCATAACTTGTATTTTATTAGAAAATCCAACTAAATCTTTAGATTGAATTGTCATGTTTTTTTTCTCGGATGAGATCTAAATCATCAATCTTTTTCTTAACCATAATGCTAATCAATCATCTTTCATTCGTAAGGATACAACAACACTTTGTTGCTATGGTCACTTAAATCAGTATCAAATATATCACTGATATTTTAGAATATATTCTTGTTACTACTAAAGGGAGCTAATGAACTATCAAATTGTTGACGTTTGTTAAATCCATTGTAATTACTCATTTTTCTTCACTATATTATGACATATCGTCTCATTTATATTTCTTTCAGATAAAAATTATTCTACAATAAATATGAAAATAATTCACATGAATAGACAACTACCAAACTATAAATGCCAAGTAAATTATCCAGTATGTACAATGAAAACAAAAATTTTTATTTCATCTATCAGTCATTGATACAATGTTCATTTTATCTTATTCTCCCCATAGATTACTTTAAAAAGCATATAATTATAATCATTTGATAGATCCTGCAGACCATATGTGTGTATATAGAATGACCAAAAAATCTTTGACATATTTGATTGATGTTATACAGATAACATTCCGTTTCCAATCTTGTTGTTTATCGGCCTTGTAAAAACAAGTACCCCAGACATACGTTAATGATAATTTATTGTCAATATGTTGTTGATTCAGAAATTTGAGAAGATTACTCGATGAAAAATAGTTATGATAGAATTTTCTTGTTTATTGTTATTACTTGTATAATTATCATTTTTTTTGATTTCGTATATTAATTTTACATTCCACAAGAGAATTTTTTTGTTGTCAGTCAATTATAATTTTGTTATAGAAGAAAGATTGATTTGATAAAAATTAGCATTAGTCAAAAGATGAGAAATGA